CATTTTCATGCGGATATCTGACATAGTGCGTTTATGCGCCTCGCAAGGTGTTGATCCCAACTGCGTTTCCTTGGCTCGCCCTTAGTGCCAAGTGAACACGCAGTGAACTGAGCTGCCTTAGTCGAAGGGTGAGCAGAATGAGGACCCTCTTTGACTTGCTGTTGCTGGACCTGGGGGCGCCGTGCACTTCCCGGCTTTTCTGGACTTGCTTACCCAGATGTGAAACTGAGCCTCGAGGAATGCAAGCGGCCGCCTGAGCCTTTCCCACCTGGCTGCCGTGGCTCCGGAGGAAGCACACAGCTTGCTGCTGAGAAGTCACGGGTGCTGACATTCGCGCAGACGCCGTCTCCTGGCGAAAAGGTCTCCGTCAAATTCTGGATTACCAGGCACTTACTACTTTGTGAACCTTTGCAATCCATGCGGGGTGCAAGCGTGTTCCATCGTGTTCCCAGGGCTCGGACCTTGAGCAGCACTTCGGAGAGCTTGGCTGGGAGAGGACGGGAAGGCCAAGCGGTCCTTTTGGATGTTTGCTGGGCAACGACCCGCCCTTTTGTGTCCGAGGCTGAAAGGCCAAAGTCTTTCACAGGCGGCACAGCCCGTGGGAGCATTGCTCAAACTGTTTCTGATAATCTCTCCGCTTGTCTATGCCCTGTCTAGGCCTCTAAGAGCGATTTCGTGAATGCTTACATTGACTGGCACCGGCCCTGATATCGACGGAAGCGTCACGTGGGAGGCTCTTGGCTTCCTGCTTGAGGCGCCTCAGTGACGATATCGAGGCCCAGTTCAAGCCCTTCAGCCGTGGATTCAAGCAGGCTCTGTTCTGAACTGCGACAGTGACAGCGGCACGTTGAGAAGTCTCGTCCTGACCATTGAGATCGAGACGAGGTTGTTGGGGATTCACACATGCTTCGCATGCTGGACGCCGAGCCATCGGCTTGGCTTCTCCTGTCACTGCCACGTGCCACGCGTCTGGCGACTGAGGCAGCTTGAGTGGATTGCCGGGATCTTTTGAAGTCCTGCCTGGAGTCTTGGGAAGATTGCGAAAGCAGTGCCAGGTCTCCGGTGCTCAACGCCCTGTCCCTCGTCCTTCAAGCAAGTCGACTTGAGTCTTGGTGTAGGCTAGAAGCTTGGCGAACACCATGCGACAGCAGGTCGACATGGCTGCAGTGCGAAGTCGTGCTGATCACGAGGGCTGGACTTTCGAGGCTGAATTGCTTTGCTGATTTGAGTGTTGAGCTACTCCTAGCTTGCACTTCGCCGCACAGAACTGCAGAGTGTGCGTACGTATGTTAGAACGATCTACAAGAAGCAGCGGACAGGAAAGAACTGCCTACCTGGACCCATTCTGGAAGTTTATCGAGAGTTTGGCTGAGGACAGCGTGGGAGCTGGACTATCAAGCAGGAAGCATTTCAAACCTTTACTTCGACCTGCGTATTGCCTTGACTTTGATGGAGTCTATCTAGAATGGGACCACGAGTTCAGGGATTCCCTTCAGGTGTGCAGGAGGGCTTTCGTACTGTTCTGCGTTCGTGCACTGTTTCTTACTATAGCGGCTATTGGAATGATGGAAAACTATGGTAACAAGAAGTGGCTGGTGTGCCTGCTTGAATTTCCAGAGGCGGGTCAATGTGTGTTGGTTTGGCATTTGTCTTCGCGGTTTTTGTGTTTTTCGAGAGGCAAGCAAGCATGCCAAACAAAGGCATAAGAAGGAACAAGCTACTACAAAAAAAAGCAACAACATCCAACCTCGTTCGGAAAAGCATGGAAAAGCACATCTGCTTGCTCAGCAGTCTCCGGCACCGGGCCGTGCCGTAGCACACCTCACCCGCCTTGCCTCGAATGCAAAAAATGCAAACCGGTAACACAAAACAAACGCAAACACAAGAAGCACGCAAACGCGAACTTCAAAACCAACGCAAATCCGAAACGAAATCACACAAAAGGCAAAAACGCGCGAACCAGCAGGACAAGAACCATGCGCAGCTTTTGCAAACCACATTTCTGATCATCTACCCAGTCTGTGGCCCAGTGATTCTTATAGAACTATGCTTGTAAACACAGTTTGAGTAAAACTGATGTCAAAGACAGTCCACAAGCAATGCTGATGACAACAGATGCACTGGGACCCCAGATGCCTTGCGAAGTCTGCATGCAACTGCAGCGAGCAGTGTTCAATTGATGCGAGGAGCACTGCGACCTGTGGTCGGTAGGTCGTGCGGCTTGCTCATGTCGGTTGCAGGATGAGAAGAAGCGATTCCTGGTTTTCGTGACTGCCTCTGATCGAATGCCTGTGCGAGGCGCTAGATCAACGGGGTCAGGGTTGTTGAACTTCACCGGAGCTCAGGGATCTTTCAAGTCCCAGTTGCCGTACATGCAGGGTGGTCAAGTCTCCGCCTCCTCGTTCAGAAGAATGGTGCTGGGGACGACAGGTGCGTCGAGAAATCGCATCCTTTGCCCCGACCTACCAAGCAGCTTGCACATCAACCCAAGCCCTGTCCACTAGCTTAGGGACATGTTCAGCAAACTACAGCCAGCAAAAGCCGGCTCATTGTTTCTGGCTGCTACGAAGCACAGGCTGCCAACTGCGTATACCTGTTTCTCACTTCTCCTGCTCCCTCTCTACAGCAGCGTGGAGGCCGAGTGCGGGGCAGCTGCTGTCGTCCTTTCAAGCAGACAATGGTAGCGTGAGGTGCTGAAAAAGAACATGCTGCTGGCCATCACGAACTCAGAAGGATTCGGCTTGAAGTGACGCCAAAGAAAGGGCTGCTGGTGACTATTGCAAACTTCAGTAGCATCACAAGCCCGTGTGCTTCGCATCTGTACATAGCTCTAGCGCTCCGTCAATAGTTGCGAGCTGGCATCTGCTGGCCAAGATGTGGGCGGAAGACCATTGATTCAAAAGCTTTTCCGATTCAAGGAAACTGACTGAGATGGCATCCCACTGCCCAGGTGTTCGAGGCGGTCTTTCGGATGTCACTATCGTGTCCGATCGCTGCAGCCAGCAGCTCTCAAGATACAAAACTTGACTGCGCAGTTGGCGAACTACGGTCGCACATGGCATTGCTGAATCTGCTGAAGTTGCGGGTGCTGCAACTGATTGCATGCTGGTACGATGCGACTACGTAGCGTTTCATTGATGCAGCTACAGCACTCGCTGCATCTTCGGCCATGAAGTGGGTGTGTCCCGGTTGCTGCCACTACATCAGCATCATTGTATGTACGAGTTTTCGAGCGTCATGCTGCCTTCCATGCTTGGTAGTGCAGCACAGATAAGATCGACAGATGCGTGACATGCCTTTCGGTTATCAAGTCCCATGGCTTCACCTGAGGCTAGGTGGATGGGTTGGAGTCTCCTGCTCGCAGATATGGCTTGTACATGCCCTTTGTCTTTTCCAGGTCGACCCACCCACAGGAGTGCCAAAGACGTTGCACTCCTGGTGGAGTCGTGCCAGCCTTACCGCAGAGACTGCTTCATTCAGACAGGGATTGCCTCTTCCTGCAACTTGTATATCCTGCTGCGCCACAGCATGCGCCTGTGCACCATTGATCCGTGTTTCAACCACGTCCGCCACTCCGCACCCGCCGCGCCCCACTCATCTCTACTCCACGCACCACATGGCAGCGCGTCATCTTGAGCAATTGAACTCGACAAGTAATTGGTTTCCTAACGCTGAAGTGGCCCCTGCTGCGCCAGAGCTTGCAATACTTTACTTTACCCACTTCGTACATGTTGGATCGTCAACTCAAGGCAAGCAAGCCTGCCATTTGTGCAGCTAAGGTTTAGCCTGTGTTTGAACGCACTCCCTTCCAGAACGATCATGTGTTACTTTCTGTTTGTTCAGATGCGCCATATTGGGTGTCCAACTGTTGCAGCAAAGATGACGAAACACCGAAGAGCCCATTTCCCAATTCACGGGCCAACGAAGAGGTATGAGCTTAGCCCTCTGTTTCTCTGTTTCAAGACGGTAGCAATCGGAGACCTTCAGCATCACTTCGTAGGGCTGCTGCGGTATTTTTGGATGTTTGTGGACAGCACAGACATGCGGCTCTCATGGCAAAAACATGACATGTGGTTCTCAGTGTGAGTGCGGAATCAAAGACTTTTCAGAAAGCTTTGAAGCTCCTGGTGCATCGAGGAGTCGACCCAGATGAGCTGGACCGTGTGCGGCTTCCAAGACGCGATCTGCGAATCCCGAGTTCAATTGTTGCCCAGCACAGTGGCCACTGCAGGCCAGTCATGAGTCCGGACGACTGGAGGTCAGCATTGTATGAGAATGTATGAGAGCACCGCAGAAAGGTTGGCTTGGCGAGACACTTAGCAGACTTCCTGGAAGGTGTTGAGACACCTGGGTGCTCTGGTGCGCGCAAGCAGGGAGCTGAAAGTAAAAAAAAAAAAGGATCCTGGCACGAGAGCTCGACTCGAGGCAAGTCTGTGCTGGAGCTGGGCTGTGGCTCCGGACTCCTTGCACAGGAGGCATCTTGCACTGCGCTAGGAATTGACCTTCGAATCAGTAGCTTCCAAGGCTAACCGTCGAGATATTGTTGGAGCCGGGGGCTTGTCAGTTTGAGGACAACGTTGGTCTCTTGAACTGGACTTAGGTCGACATGTGCTCCGCAATGGCGCAAAAGGCGCCATGTCCCTGAGCTTCAACTCCATGCGTCCCACGGAATGCCGCACACAGATGCACACCAGGTCGACGCGGATGGACACAGTGGTGAGGGAAAACATGCTGGAATTTTATCCTGCTGACAGCGGGCAACTCAGACTGCTGCTGCAGTAGTGATTGGTGAAGCGTAGCATTTTTGTCATTGCAAAGTGCCAGGCCCCGACACAGTCGTGCTTGCGAATGTTCTGGAGCCGTATTCAGCCGAGGCAGCACCCTCCTGGCACCTGTGAAAGTAGAATCCTTCAAAGCAGGTGAGGAGACTGCTCCTTGCACAGATCTACGACTATCTGCTGCCTGGAGGGTGCTCGGACTGCACTGCTCGGAGGGAGACCCAGCGTTCTTTCTTAAGACTGCCATATTGGAACGGTGATATGGCGAGGAACTGCCAACGCAGTCTTCCGAGGATTCCATACAAAATTTGCTGCAAGTCACAACCGGAGTATTTGGGGTTTGCTGTTAGGCGTTTCGGCAACTTGGACCCCGGCGATACTGTAAACACCGGTGCAGCAAAACTGCACGATTAAGCACGAATATTGCCGATGGGTTGTCGAGGACATCAAACGTGCAAGGACCGAAGCAGGGTTTACAAACTACTTGCTCCCGGAAGGATGGTACGCATGCATTGCACCTGTTCCTTCTCATGTCGTGCTGTTTTGCATGCAGCTTATGAAAGCAAGGGGCAGCATGACCCTGCCATTGATCTGTCAACTTCAACATAAGAATGGTTGTTTCAGGGCCAGAGCTGATTTGGGTCGAAAAGCTCGTCGTTGGCATGCCTTGGTATTGTGCACGCATGTCGCTCATCCATGGTCTGGTGTCATAAGCAAAGCAATTGCAACCTCCACGATGTGCTCCGTAAATGGCAACGCCAAGACACCGAGGCAGGTAGTTCTCGCCGTTACAGTGGGCGAAACCGGCTTGGGCAGCTCGGCAAACCATCCTGCGCGCCTCAGTTTCCTGGGTTGGTACCTGCGGTTACCCACGGTGATGAGGAACCTCGTCAGAGTCGATCTTGGATCTGGTTTTCCCAAGTGTGCTTGCCTAAGTCCTACGCTTGGCTCTGGGTGTGCACGGAGCAATCGAAGTGCTTCAGGCACCGCCCATGCAGGCAGATGAGATCGAGGACGACCGCTGCAACTTAAGTGAAGTCATAAAGTGGTCTTCTGAAAATCAGACGGATTCCGCCAGTCAGATGGGATGCTCATTGCTTGAGAATACCTCGGCTTCTTGCAGGAAGACCTCCTTCTTTCTGGATTCGACGTGGCAGTGCCAGAGCTTCTGTGCATCAGACGAGAGCGAGAGGCGACGACTACAGGGGCTTTGAGTCATTGACGCGTTCGCATACCTTCTCATGCAACGATAGAGTCAGCGTGCATTCCAGTAGTCAGACGCAAGCAAGCTCTTTCTCACGCAGCGTGAATACCAAACAGGCTCTTGCCTGGATGCAGTTGCTCCTAGAGCACTTCCTAGAGCCACGGCAGCGCAACCCTTCACCTCACACACCACATCCTGTGGCATGTTGGGAAGTCGCAGAAGCGTCGGCATGCATCTACAGTCATAGCCGGGCCAGTGCCCCGCGAGCAATGGCGTTCCGATTCCGGAGAGAGGGGGATTTCATCAAGCACAGGGTGCACATGGAGCGTGGCGACCTCAGATGTTCGGACTGCGGGGCTAGCTTCCATCAACACCGAAAGCAAGACTTGCATCTCGGCGCTTCGCTTTTATTTGCTGAACATCAGGCATGGGTATATCTCCATGGATCGAGGCATGAATGCTCAGACAAGTGAAGCGCTTGGAAGGAAAAAGCCGTGAAACTCTATGGCCAGGACTTCAAGTATCGGGTGGTCGACTGGCACTACCAGTACTACATGGGCCCGAAGGACCGGGCCAGTGGACAAAGGGGTCAATTTCAAGGAATGCTGTCTGCATTCAGGCCAGAAATGCCGTGATGTCGAACCAGAGGCACGCTCGATCCATCCAGGCGCCATGCCATTCTTCAGTGTCCATGGGACGAAAACCTGTGAATTCGTGGTGCTTCTGTAGGAGTTTATGGACAGTCAGTGCAACATGCTATGCGGCGGGGTTCCATCCTGCATGCAATCGCAGGACATGTACGACAAGAGAGCGAATGGCTTCGTGCAAAGACTTTCAAAGGATGATGCAGCCTCTGCGCGATACTCCAGTGCAAGGATTGCCGTTTGTCTCGTCCCTCAGCTGGGGAGGTGTCCCGCAGCACTTCAGCTTTACATGCTTCTGGTCTGAAGCTTCGCAGGACGAAGTACTTCACCTGGACAACATGCCTGCCAAGGGTGCCTGGCCTGAAACGCGCAAGTGAAATTCAACCCACTGACTTTCATAAAGGGTATAGAAGGGTTGAAGGGTTGGGCATTTCTCATTCTGTGTCTGGCTTGGCTTTCCTTTCGCTGGCTTTTCGATTCTGCGATTGAGGCAGTCCGACAACCCACAGAATGTTGAGCAAAGGAAGTGAGAGCTGCTTGATAACACACAGGTTTTGTACTACCCATTGTTTACTATCTATCATTTGATGTCTTTATCTTGTGTTCTACATTACATATAGCTATCACCAAAATGATTAGACAGTTATGTTGCATCATGGGCTGTTTGCTGCACGGAGATCCTCAGGTCACGCCGCTGCAGAGGACTTCCAATCCATTCTGCCCGATCACGCCAAACAAAACGGGCTGGCGCGAGTACATCGAGCAGAAGGAGTTCAGAATGGGTTCAGGGTTTAGGGAACAGAAGGAGCCTAGGATCTACTAGGAATTTAGGGTGCAAGGCTTTGGTATAGGGAGATAGCATTCAACAGGGTCTTGGGTTTGGTATGGAACATATAGAACAGAAGGAGGAGTCTGCAGAGTCCCAGGATTTTTCAGGGTTTGGTATAGGAGAACAGAAGGAGCCAACCGTCTGGAACGATTTAGGGTTTGGTGCAGGGGAACAGAAGGGGCAGAATGGGGTTGAGGGTTTAGGGGAACAGAAGGAGCCATGTTTTTTTTTTTTTGATGTTTCAACTTGAGGGTTCTAGGATTCCAGGGTATAGGGTGTAGGGGAACAGGAGCAGCCAGCCAATTATGGGTTTAGGGGGACAGAAGGCCCCTATGAGCTTTCGAAGTCATTTGAGGTCTCAGGCTTTCGGAATAGAATCTTAGAAGCAGCTAGTTTCATGCCGGGGTTATTCAGCGGCAAACAAGAGCAGTCTGCGAAAGACAAATTCGGTCATATAATCGGGTTTAAGGTTTAGGGTCGGGTACTTCACCAGCTTTAGAGCAGATTAGGGCCTAGGGATCGCCTGAGCGAAGCCGCAGGGAGTCGCCTGACCTGAGGCAAGTCTTGCAACCCGATGATTCTGTCTCAGGAGGTTCGGGGCGCTGTCCGGCCAAAGTCTCCGAAGGACAAGCAGCGACACCGCCCCGTTGCGGAGCCCAAGTGAGCATCAGTCATGGCAATCGATCGGTGCGATGCCAGGCACAAAATCCAGCACATCATGGATCCGAAGCCCAAGGCTGTTCCCTCGTCTGGTTTTATCGGCTTGTGGAGTTTCATCATCGTTGCCATGCAGGGCCCCAAGCATGTCATGTCTGGGACCGACGACACCGTCCCAATCTTTCCGACACAGTGAGAGCGGCCGAGCCTGCAGTGGGGAAGTTGTAGACTTGCAATCCAACTCCAAGTCTAGTTTTGCGCCATGCAGCTGTTCTGGAAGTTCCCTGCGAGCGCTTCATTCACTCTGCAGAATGCTGCTGGTCCTTGTCTCAATCTTTCTTCGAGTTGGCATTCTGGCCTCCAAGAACCCAGTGCACGGCGACAAAACAGTCACTGCTCGTGAGTTTTTTTTTCCAAGAGACGAGTCGTGGAGGATGTGGGGCTAGAGTTCCCGCAGCCAGGACCCGAGCCGAGTTCAGCGACGCTCAGTTGCCGCAAGCTCGGGTCAATCCTCTCGGGTGTCTTCAGTTCTGCCAATCCAAGGCCATCCTGGTTGGAAGGAAGGTTTGAGCTTGCCGTCCATCCAAACGTCACTTGGGCACCGCTCGAGTTGAAAACCATTTACCTGCCGCGCAGAGAAGGGTGTTGGAATGGCTTTGTGAAAGGAGAGTAGATCAATTCTGTGACGTGGGACTTGGCTCGAGCTTAGGGCTTTATCCGGGAACGGTACAATCACGCCACTCGACTATTTCTGCTTTCCGCAATTGTAGCAGGCCTGCCTAGCACAGAGGATCCAGACTTGGGCAAATCCTGTGTGCGCATGCTACAACAGCAGGTCACCATGGATGTCGACGGTGTCTTCCTCGGTGGCTTCCATATCGATGCCCAGACCTTCGAGGTAGAGATCAACTCAATAATATCGCCTGTCGCAAGCTGCAGTGACGCAGGCCCTTTTCGGGATGGTCGTGGTTATGGTGATGCTTCGGCTTGAGCTTTTCAGGCCGTGCCCTTGTCTCCAACATGCTTAAGATTGGTATGCTTCCGTCCAGTTGTCCTTTCGCCTGTAATTTAGCGGTGAACTTACAATGGCTGTATGTCATGAGACATGCAAGAAGACCCTGAGGCGGGCGGTCAATGGACGTCCAGGTGATGCAGCTCCGTCTGCGGCTGTCAGTTCGCAAATGCAATCTGGGACTAACTGAAATTTCCTTTTTGCGGCCGCCTGTTGCAGCTTTTAGGTCAGCCGACAAGTACAAGAAACTTCTGCGGGAGTGCGCGCCAGAGGCGCGAGACAAGCACAAAGAGCGTCAAGAGCCTATGAGCTGTAGGATCGGCCTTTCAAAGAGCGATGCAAGGCAATTGGCACCCTCGCATGCATCCTGCTGGTAGTTGCCTTGCGATCCCGTGGCGACACCATTGGCGAGTCCATGGATGAGCGCTCGCGCGAGGCCAGAGCTTTCTCCGGCCTCGACTTGAAGAAACTGTTCATATGCTGCGTCTTTCCAAGGAGATTTAAAATTTCAAGACCAAGACTTCCGACCCCAGACTCCGTAGCGATAGTACCTGAACTGAAAAAGAACTGAGATTCTGTCGCCACTTTCGTTGTGAAGTTTCCAGGCCTGGGAGGCCATCAAGGCCCAGTGGCCTGTGCTGATGACGGCAGACACGCTGCTGGCCCTGCAGGCACCGAGCTTTTGTCGGGGGCTGTTTCGACAGACGGCGTAACGACTTTATTCAATTACAAGATCTTTTCATTTGCATCTGCGCCATAGCTACGGTTGCAGCCACACCCCTAATCTACGGTATCAATGTCTAGAGTCTAGATCGTCTATTTTTCCACCTTGATCTCGATACAGCGATGACCGAGAGACTGAGACTGAGACAGAGAAACAGACAGAAATGCCAACAGACCAACGCAGACGCCGACATGCATTTGCGAACATCCTCGCGCCTGAGCACAAACACACAAGAGCGCACGCATGCACGCGCGCGCACACACACACACACACGCACGCACACGCACACGCACACGCACAGAGAAGCACGGCACGGCCCCCGACCGCCCGCGCCCTCGACGCCGGCACGCGCATGCACACGCGCGCACATGCAAGCACTGTCTCTCTCTCTCTCTCTCTCCTTCTCCGTCCCTCTCCTCCTCTTGCTGGCTCGGAGAGGCATGTAGGCTCAATACGTGCTGTTGTGCGTTACAAGCCGACGCAAAGTTCTGATGAGGTGATGTTGCGGCTGATCGTTGTTCTCTCTGCTGTTTTGCGATCAGGCAGGGCCAGCTGTGAAGACTGTCCAAACGGATAATCACTGCGTAAACAGCTTTGGCAGTCGCAGCCCTGTAGGAAGCAGCACGGCTTCGCCTTTGTTGGATGAATGTGCCGTGCCGTGTGCCCAAAGACACGAAGCGCATTCTGTTTATGTGGAGCATACTGGTTCTCTGAAGGTTGTGGTTCGGAGGAGCTGCTGCAAGATCAGTAGTTTTGATGCATAGCAAGGCAGGGCACCGGGTACATTTTGCCATGTTCTTTGTCTTCCAAACACCCTTTCAGGCTTACTGGCTGGAAGGACCTGTTGGTGGCCTCATTCCCACCATCTCGGAGGCAAGGACGCGCAACACTGTCTCACTCTAAGCTTTCTTGTCTGCAGGTTCTGCTGGCACCGTTGTTGTTTGTCCTGGGCAAGCGAGCCCTGCGTCGATCCACCTTGACGATGTTGCTGGTCCGGGCCCATGCAGCAAGCGATACTGAACGCATGAGAGCATGTGACATCGGTTCCGGCCTCGAACGGAAGATTGGAAAGAGACGTCGCTTGCAGGTTGTGGTGTTGGTGGGTTTCTTCGCGCAGAGAAACAACATCCATTTGGCATGATTCTTACTGCTCCCATTGGAGCGTCTTCTCTTTTCCATCGGCTCCCTTGTTCTTGTGATTGCAAGGCGGAAGAGCAGGAAGCCAATCTGCTCTTCACTGCCGCGCACTGCTTCGAGCTCCTATCAGCCGTGCTTTGGTTGCTATGCTTAGCCAGCCTGGAGTTTCGTTTAACGGGGCTCTCAAACATGCTGCAAGGTGCTCTACCTTGGTCGAACGTTGCTGTCCGACAGTGAGCCTTGAATGCAATGTAAGTGGCAAGGCCCAAGGCAAGAAGAGAGCGACTCCGGTGTACGGTGCATGTCATATCTCGCATTCATGTAGTGGTGTGCGTGTTCCGTGCGTGCATGCATGTGTGTATTTACGTGCTTCAGAATACATCATGGAAATTATGACTGTTGCATATGCATATGTACATGTATATGCACGCGTACGTGTGTATGTTTATGTGTCTGGCAGTCACATGTATATTGTAGAACGTCTCTGTGCTTGCGTGTGTGTGTGTGTGTGTCTNNCTCTCTCTCTCTCTCTCCCTCTGTGCGTGCAAGCACCTGCTTGATTGCATGCGTGTGCGTGCGTGTGCGCGCACCAGTGCGCTAGCTACTACTAGCTCGTAGCTAGAAGCCAGCTCGTTCGTTCGGTCGCTTGCTCGCTGGTTTGTTTGATTGTTCGTGTGTTTGTGACTGAGTTCGGTACTGAGTGGGTTAGTTGGTTAATGAGTGAGATAGCTAGTTGGCGTGTCCCGAAAACAGACGAAGCATCTGGCGTTCCTTTCAGGACAGCCCCGATTTACAATTCTCTTTGACGTTTACGTTTGGAGCCCAGACGAACCAGCGATCGCGCTGCACACTCTGCTTGGTTTGGCGTGGCTGCATTCCACTGTTCGTGGTTCATGCCGAGGCATCTGGTTATGGTGGTGCAACAGAGTCTGGCCGTGTATTTCTGGCTGCAGGCATGTTGTGCAACACTGCAGAAACTCCTTGCTGTTCTGCATGTTGAGAAGGCTTTCGAGCCGGACACCGTGAGCGGGACAGGGTGGAAGACCCATTGTTGCTCCAATACTCGTTGTGTTGTTGCTAAAACTCGAGCTGGCAAAGGCTGGGAATTGCTGCCATTCAGCTAAGCTGTCTAGGCCAGCTTTGCGCGTGCGCCAGCCCTGTGTCGATGATGCATTACAAAGGCACATCTCACTCCTATCTCAGACCAGCCACAGGTATTTGGCAGCGGCATCTTTGCACATAGCCACATGGTCAGCGCCTATGGCCAGCATAGAGCAGTGCAATCCCAGGCATCATGTGCATACAAATGACCAAGGTTCGCAGATGAAGCACATCAACCAATTCATGCGCACTTATGATGGGAGTGGCGGCATTGTCGTGTTTCACACTTGTTCGGCACAGAAAAGCAAGTCCTTTGCGTGGAGAGCTATAAGTTGAGACATCGTGCAGTGCAATGGTACTCGTAAGTTAGACTTGCCCGAATGGCTTTCGCAGTAATCAGACAGGATGCGTGCGAGTCCACTGACGGATCGATCAACTGGCCACCCCTTGTCCTGGCCCACTTTGGCAAGTTTGGATGGGACGTGTGCATCCATGGCGTGCAGTCTGTTTGCATCCATATGTGTCAATCGCACACATTGATTGGCAACGTCTGTCACAGTTTCGACAGACAGAGCCATTCTCTGCATGTGTTACTGTGCTCACGTTCGCTCGCGCTCGCCTGTGTTGCCCAATGTGCCAGCGACTGTCCTGAGAAGGAGGATTCAGCAACAAAGAAAGGTTTTTGACATCCGCGACTTCCCTCAAGCAGCTTGAAAGAAGAGACGCGAATCAGGCTTTGGGCACCGAGTACAGTTATAAAAAGCACTGAATCCGCACTGTTTTGTACTAGGAGACCGCCTGTCCTGGAGAGCCTTTCCTGCGCCTTGCCTTCGATGGTTGCGCCAAGAAGTTTCAGTATGCCGGATGCTGCTGGGTGGCGGCCGGCCTGATAACATGTCTGCCTTCGATCGTATTTTTCTACATCCAAATATCATCACCAGGTAAGGTCATCATAGTCGGCAGCTTTACACTCACGGCCATTAAATGTCGCTGGGGCTTCAATTTCCTGCATGAGTGGGCACCAACGGCACTGAGCATTGCCGCACCTTGCACATCACTTCGCCAAGTGGGGACGATGTCCATTTTGAGTGCCGCGCCGGAAGCCTCACCAACGAGTGACACCTTCGAGCTGATAGCTGCGTGCACGTATGCTTGGGGCACCACGACGGAAATGGCCGGGAGCTGGCACAATGGGGCGTGAAGCACGGCACCTCCAAGAGGAACAGCAATTGCAGAACAGTGGAGAGAGCAGTCCTCCGATTGAGTTGCATGTGGCCGGAGTTGTGGCCCTTTCGATTGCCGATCATCACCTACGCTGTGTTACACAAATTCACAACATGCTCGGGGAGTCCAGGGTTGGGAGCTACCAACACGGCGTCTGTTTAGTCTTCCTGGGCTATTCGCCGATTTGGGACGAGAACGGGTTCCGCCTCTTGGGCCATGGAGGGGAGACTGGCGTAGGACTGCAAGAGAAGCGTGATTCAGCAAACGCGGGCCGAAGTCCGCAAACACAGTCAGCAAGCAGACAGCTGAGCCTCCGCTACGGGCTGCGGTGTTTTCTGAACTGGCCTCCGCGGCTTTTGACTTCCGTTTGTGCTGTTTACCGACTCTGCTCCCGGTGTTTTTGACTTTTTTTTGCTGACTCCGGCCCTTTCCGTAGGACTGCGTGTGGAAGCCACTGGTGCAACTTGCCATGCTGAAGAGCTCAGTGCAATCCCAGAGCAAATCTTCCCGAACACGAAGAACCATTGCCCAGAAGGATGTCTCCATGCAGACGCAACTGTTCTGACCGTCAATGGGCCACAGACCATGCTCCGAATGCTCCGACTTCGCCAGGGGACTTGGCCGTCAATGGCTTTGGCCACTGCATCGTCGATGATGTGTACTTCTTTGGTCATGCGGATGCCTATGCGTGACGTCGGGCGTGTCTGGCCCCAGGCTCGGGCAAGTGAAGTCGCCAAAGTTGGCCTCTTCAGTCCGTACACGCTGTCGGGCTGATGAGAGCCTGGGCGCTGTCGGAGCTGGCAGCGGCTTGGCCGCCGTTCTGGCGCTGGCCATGCTCGGTGCGCCAGTGCGCGCGGAGGCTTTGTGTTGAGCCCCCGCAGGTCGAAAGCTGCCCGGCTCGGGTAGCTCGTCGCTCGCCGTCATCGTGCGCCGCCATGGTTTTCTGAATGCCAGCACCAGGCCAAGCCCTTTGAGTCTGGCTGGCTTGTACAGGAACCGGTCAAGCGCCTGCGTTTGCGGAGATAATGCTGTGGATGTTTTGCTGCAAGCTCCGTATGTGTTGCTGCTCTCGCGCGTCTCCGGTTTCCAATAAAAACTTGTCCTATGAGTCAGAACCTTAACAATGGTCGAAGCTAGGAGTCTGCCTGGTTGAAAGGTCGAAGTACCTTCTCGTGACAAGAGGGGTGTGCAGGGCGGGCGGCGAAGGGCCTGGAGTCATGGAGTGGTGACATGTTCGCTAGCACGTGGACTTGGAATGCTGATCTCTGATGTGCGGCAGCTAAAGCATGTGGCGTGAGTATGAACGTACCGCTGTTTGGCTCAATGTGCTTTTCTTAGGGTCTCACCTCACCTCAGTGCGAGCAATCACGAAGAATGGAAGACTTGTAGCAGTCTTAGCAACTCAACCAACCGTCACAGAAGGCAGCATTTGTCCTCCGCATTCCTGCAGCAAGCAGCACCTCAGTGTCCAGAGTCAGTGTCCCGGAGCCTCCTGGTGCTGCTCTGCTTCCTGCGGACCTAGGGGATCGAATGTACTGAGGTCAACACTCTCCAAAGAATGGCTTCCTCGCCGATACCGCCTTTCGACCTTGACGCAGAGCCGCAGCAATCTCAGAAGCTGCATGCTACTAGTAGCGACCACTTCGGCAAGCAAGTATCTGTGGAGCAAACTTCTGTCTGCCGAGGCTTGTGACCGGCTCGGTCGAGATCTCCAACGATCGGCTGATTCAAGGCTTCTCCTGGCTGGTAGCTACAGTGAAGGCCCTTCTGCGGCGAAAGGGTTCAGCTCTCGTCAAGTTCTGCCTTGCTCCGCAGGAACAGAACCGTGTAATGGATGCGCTGAGTAGCCAGATCGACAGCTTGAAGGCCAATACTGCCGACTGTTGTATGAAAGTCGGAGAGACTGTTGAGTTTATGGTCGAAGTGGAGTCGAGCACAGGTTGGTGCAGCTGAGCCCACGCCCTGCCCTTGGCAAGTTCCAAGTGGGTTCTCTGCTTGATCTTCGCCTTGGGCAGTTCTGAGCAACCACAAAGCCCGTTGCAGTGGCAAAATGGCAAAGCTGTCGACGTGTCCACCACTGCTACAGAAGAGCATTGGGGGAAACACACCTTTGAGCATGATCTCGAGAAGCGGTGGATATGCCGGATCAGGAGCCCATGCCATACATACAGCGGTACACAAGGCATGCCCATAAGATTTAGTGCCTGCGGCTTTTTGCGGCGGTTGTTTTGGCTGCTTCCAGGCTTGGTTGCTCATGGCTTGAAGTAGCTCGTGTCGTACAGCGGGGGCAACAGTAAGTATTCGTTCGGGAAAGTGCGAACGAGCTCTTTGTCAGGTCCCCCAGGACACCACACTCCTCTTCTCCCAATTTTCCAGCATGCCCCAGCCCTATCATTGAGGCACTCCAGTGATGGCAGACGCGCATCCATGAAGGAGCCGAGTGTGCTCTCAGAGAGCCCCGAGCGTGCAAACAATTCCCTTCAACTCCGTCAGGAGGAGATGCTGTTGATGCAGATCAATGCCATAAAGCACGAGGCCACGGCCTGCCCCTTCTTGACTTCTTGGGCCCTGTGTCAGCTGGAGTCTGCAGGTTGGCTCTCTCCCACGTTCGAGTGATTTGGAGCGACAGCGCGAGCGCACCATGGCAGAGGCGCCAAACCAAGGACACTGCTTGGACAGATGGACAGTTTGTCTTCGAAGCAAAGGTTCACAACATCTCCAACACCCTGAGCGACCGGAATCGAGAGTCTTCCGAGCGCTTGCAGAAAGAGCTCGCCGATGTGACGGCGCAGCCCCAATTCAAAAATCTACAGGCAGCACACACTATCAAGAAGCCCGTGTTTGATGTTCAGGATTCATTGTGCAACCAGTTGAAGCGCATCGGAGACGATGTCTTTTCAAGGCGCCGACACACAGGTTTTCTGTCGAGTCGAGCTGTTTTTGCATGGCTGGGGTCGCCTGCGCTTGCCCTGAAAGTTCATTGTTTCTCAGCATTCAGCTTGTGCAAGAGGACAGAGCGGAGCCAGGTCACGGGATGTCACAGGTATGTGGTCTGTTTTCGATCCAATGTGCTGTCAGGCTGGAGATCCTCGAGCAGCGACCGCAGGTTCCTGCCGGCTCAAGGCATGTCTAAGGAGGCTCAAGTTTTCCCCGGACAGGCACCGGGTCCTTCGGCGCCGGTGCAGACGCCGCCAGCTGCTGCAGCCGCTGCAGTTTTGCAGCCGCTGCCTGCGTCACAGCCGCAGGCGATTGACTGCAAGTTCTTACCCAGTTGGTGATGCGCATCTTTGGGGACTCCCGAATCCTGAAATCTCAACCCGCATATCTTTTGGCCGCGGCACAGGTGCAGGGCGGCATTCCGCCCCCACTTCCAAACCCGATCTCATCCTCCAGCATTGCAGCTGAAGACACTGAGGACATCGAACTGTGCCAGCGAGCCCGGTAGATATGCAGAGATTCAGGTGTGCGCGGTGTGCACCACAAGATCATCTGAAGTGAACAATGCTAGCGAAGGATCACACTGACGGTTTGCTGATGCCGGGGTCCCTGCGGGCTAACTCAACGACACGACACATCCGCAACTCATCCGCAGCGAGGTCGGAGCATATGGAGCATCCAGCCGCAGCCACGGGAGGCGGCTCCCAGGCCGTGCCGTCGAAATTTGCACATCTTGGGCTGCGCACTGCATCTGATGGGAGCGGCCGCAGCCAGGTCGACCTGGCACTGATGGATGCCATAACTGCGCGCCTGGATGGGCTGGAGAGGCCGCGGCCATAGCCAGTCGGACGGGTCGTGACATTGGGTTGGGCTTAAGGCAAGTTCAGGACCTGCGGAATGAGGCGCTGGCTGCGATCTTATCTCCATCGTTCTTCCTTCCGCGTGTGTTTGTGTGGCTTTGCGTCAGGTGCGACAACCGCTTGCAGCTGCAGATGCTGGTCCGACCCCAGCTGTCCGAGAAACTGCGGAACCTCCCATGGGCAACCCGAGCAGCTCTGCCGGAAACGCACCTGACGGCCATGACGGACCTGTCAGCTCTGATCCAAACGTAGCTTTCATGACAGCTCCACCAAACTCCGCCGATGCAGCTGCATCTCCCGAGCCGGCTCCTGTGCCGTCGCAGGGGGAGACGAATCGCGGTGATCCGATCCAGGATGTGAGTGCAATTATTTCTGCAGCTGTTGCTGCTGCTACAGATGCTGCCACTACAGTGGCAACTCAGGCCATTGCTGAAGCAGCGCAGGGCGAGCGAGGAGATTTTGCATCTCTTCAGGAGGAGATGCTCAACGTGCGACGAAAGCTGGAGACTCTTGCCCAGAGTGTGTCCGAAGTACCGAGATCGCAGGAGGCGCAGGTCCAAGAGACACCAGTGCGGGAGGTTCAGCCGACACAGGCAAACCCTGGAACGCAAAGTGAATCCGGAGCTCAATCCGCTGCTTTGGCGTCTCTACAGGAAAGGTTAGCTTCGGTGGAAGCTGCTTTGAAGCAGGTTGAGGGTGTCGTACCACAGGTCAGGACCGTGCCTATCCTGGAAGCGAGCATCCAAACTGTGCAGCAATCGCTTGAGGTGCTGCGCCAGCAAACACAGCAGCTGTCGCAGCCACCACCACAGCCACAGCCCGCCAGTGATGCAAAGGCCGTCACTGCCACCGAAAAGGAGGCTGCTCGCAGCGAGCTGCCGGAGCCAGCACCGGAAGATGCAAGACACAAGGCAGCGGGGGTTGGGTCTACAGCGTGCAGGATATGATGCCGAGCTCCACCGGCAGACATTTGTGCTTCTCAGGTTTGTTCAGGGCGTGATATGACTGCCGCTGTCAGCACTCATGTTCACAGCTGTCATGGCAAACACTGGCCATCGCACAGGGCGCTTTGGCAGTTTCCGACGAGGAGCTCGAAAGACTGATGGCTCGACTGCAAGACATGGAGGACTTGGGGTTTTGCACGTCACTTGCCGGAAGCTGAAGCAACCCGGAAGCAGCTCAGGAGCTTCAGGAGAAAGCAGAAAAAAGGATCCAACAAGTGGAGGGTCGCTTGCGAGAGGCCTTGGCTTGAGAGCGACATCAACTTTGTGCAAAATTAAGCTTCGCAAGCACCAGAACTGAATCCTTTAGAAGTACGTAGGTCGACCTGCTTGCCTTCATTCAGCATCTATCGCGTCCAGTGCTGTTTTCATGGTCTTGACAGGTCCGAAGCCGAAGTGGGTCAGTCAGCGTGGTCTCTTGGCTGCATCGACTCGAATGGCAAATGGTGATATAGCAGAGGCTGCAGCAGAGCAAGGGGCAACATACAGACAGTATTCCAGAACAGGACATGATATTCTTGTTTGATTACCTATGCTAGCACTTTCGTCGGTTCAAAAAGTACGTACAAACGCTTGCACACATGCATGCATATGCATGCATGCACAATGCTGCATGCATACGTACATACATATATGCGTGCGAACCCACTTACATACTTACATCGTGCGTACATACATGCATGCCTACAGCATACATACATGGATACTCAATCAGACAGACAGCCACACGCACGTCGTAAATGCATACAGAATGATACATACACGCAGTTACATACAATTGCGTGCACATGCACATGGACAGGCAGGCAGGCAGGCAGGCAGACAGACAGACAGACAAGCACATGCGCGCATGCATGCAGACAGGCAGACATACATACATGCATGCATAGGCATGACATGCATGCATACAAACACCGTGACACAGGCATGTATGCATGCATGCACCCATGTATGTATGTTGTAGTTATGCATGTATATATGCATATAACTGCATATGTGTCTGAACGCGTTGTGTCTGCGTTGGGAAGCCCTGTTTCTAGGGGAAGGAATGGTGATGCATGCATGCATATATATATATACATACAGACAGATAGATATATATTGTGCGCGTGTGTGCGGCTGGAAGGCCTGATTCTAAGCTAAGGGTTGGTGGTAAGCAGGACTTGTGCCAACGAAGCTGTCTCAAGATTCCAATACAGGGAAAGGAGGGGCTGGTCAACCACCTGTACCTGCTTGCACATTTGCCAGCGCATGCGAGGGTTGCATTTGTGACTTTCAATTCGCTGACATGCTGCGTAGCACCTGGCCTCGGACAGGTTACCGGTTACCCGAGTTCTTGGGACTCTACTCGTACGTCGGATGGTTGCATGGAATAACATACCAGGAACGAATTGACGAGTTATTCTGAAATTTCCGTGGGCCTGTGTGCATGCGTGATAGGCTCATCTCAAGAGCATGCGTGCGTGCGTGCATGCGTGCGTGGGTGTGTGTGTGTGTGTGTTTAGTGTGTGTGCGTGTATTACGCATGTATGTATGCCCGAATGTCTGTATGTCCGAATGTCTGTATGTCTGTATGTATGTATGCATGTATGGATGTATGTACGTATGCATGTATGTCTGTTTGTTTGTTTGTGTGTAGGTATGCACTGCATGAAAGTATGCGCATATATGACATACGACACAGCTGGTGACAGTAGACGAGCTGGTCAAGAGTGCTACGACACAAACAAGCAACACTTGGGCAAGGCACATGTACTAGCCGTCGCAAACGGGCGAGAGACAACATGCAACGGGGCGTGTTCATGTCAAAGCTTCAGAACATTGCAAAATACTGTTCTCATGGCATGATGACTTCGGGCTGCTTGCCCGCGTCTGATGCAAGGCCTTGGCCCTGCCCATGTGTAATAACAGCTCTTGGCGGATACCCCTGGCCAGAGTCGACAATGCACTCGCGCACTGAGCAAAAGCTAGGGTCGCGTGGGATCTCCGTGCGGAATATCGTCTCACTGGAGGACAGGAAGATGCCAGCCAGCCGCAACACAACATCGATTACTGCTTCAAAGACATCTGAGCGTGCTGCCTCAGCCAGTGCGGATGTTAAGACTGTTGATTCCCTTGAAGCTCATCCTTCTGTTGGTCGCACATCTGAGGCCGTCTGCTGATGGATCCGTCGGTGGCTCCTGGAAGGATGTTCAGGCCGCTCTGGCCACTCGAGCTGCCTGAACTCGACAGTTTTGCCCACTCTACAAAGGCCGAGCTGGAAAGATTTCGGAAACTCTTCGAGTTCATCGAGGCGTGGAGTCGTTGCCGATCGATGTTTGACTTGCCTAAGCTGCTACTGTCGAGGGGGTGCTTCCCCAAGATGCAGCTGAAGCAATGCGATTCTTCAATCGGCGTGAAGCAGGCAAGGAATGGCATGAAGCATGGCTGCTTGGAGATTGCCTCTGGGTAGTGTTCGTCCTGCTTGTACAGGCAAGGAAGAAATGTCCGGGATGATTTCGGAAGTATTTGGAGCAGATATCGAGTTCCAGAATGCCAAGCTAAAGACTTAGTGGCTTAGTGTGTTTCAGCCGCCTCCCGATCCCCAGCACATGCTTCCCGCCGAGGTCGCAGCTGGAGAGCGACTTCAAAATGCACACTCGCGAGCTCCGACGAGAGCGGCTAGCCAGCAAGGTGCAATCATGCCTAGACTTGCTAGACTCTGCTAGATACTGGCAGTTCGTGTCGCGGAGCTGATGCACCTGTGAAGGCAGACAGCATAGTGAGGAGACGTCTCAGCGCAATGGTAGAGCGGACTAGCTGGTGCAATTGTAGGCGGAGGACAAGACACCATCATTTCCAAGTCGACAAGATTGAGACAGCTGCAAGTCGATTGCCCTAAGGTTCGACAAGCTCACTTTGGCGCTGAAGGTCGCTGCCTCAGGGCTGGATATCCAACCTTGCTCCGTAAGAATCCGCAAGACAGAGGGCAATCACTTCTGAGGGCTTGCAGCGAGATGTGGACACATCCGGCAGCAAAGTGGTGGACCTCTCCAGACGGACAGGGCAGAATTGCTCGACTGAGAGAGAAGATAATATTTGCCTTGCTCTCCATGGAAGGACGTCGCAACTTGAGACGGAGGCCTTTGCAAAAGCTGCCTCTTCTCCTAATGTTTTATTGAGAGTTTCGGAAGATGCATTCAAGTTTTGTTGCTTGCCACAGTCCCTACGTTTCTAGTTGGTCACTCGCGGGAGCAACTGCTGAATCTCGAGGTGGAAGACGAGCATAAACATAAAGCCTTCGACGTTTTGCCTTGCCAAAGTGCCCTGCCCCCCCTTCCCATGTCGAAGCTTCACAAAACATGTTCTCGAAGACCAAGATAAGAACTGGTCATGATACTTGCATGAACGGTACATAGCCATGCCGAGTAGTGGTGGAAATGGCGGAAAGTTGCTAGGCACATTATTAAGACACCAGGACGGCAGCGGAATAATAACAACCATAATACAATGCACTTTTGAGATGAAAGGTTGGTAAACACAGAAGAATCAAAGTAAGAAGAACAGCGGCGCTAGGTGAGCTGCAAAAAACTAGGAGCAATTCTATGAAGACAAGAACAGCAAGCCAATGAGATGAGAATAGCCGTGTCGTCGACACTCAAGTAATTAATCAGTGCCGCGTGCTTGCAGCATCGTCCCTCTGCCAATGACCTAAACAAGACATTAAGCACAGTGAGACATTCGGCAGGTCCGATTGTCGCCGGCTGTGGCAATATCTTCTATGGAGGCCATTCTGCACATTCATGTTTCAGGCCAAGGCAGTAAGCCGACGCGACTTCCAGCCTTGCGGACGATACGTGATTTGATAGTGTGGTCAAGCTTGGCCTATACTGAGCTGGGCATCCGCAACTTGGGGCTCAATATTCAGTCCAGACCGACCAAACCGGCATGAGCATAAGCTGGAAGTAGTTGCAATTGGAACCCTTGCAGTAGTTCGAGGATCGGTAGCAAGCGGGCAGTAGAAGCCAGCTAAACAGGGGATCAGATGATGCTGACGCATGGTACGGCGGAGAGAGCAAAGTGCTCAAGATACCGCGACGGCCACCAGCACAGTTGGCCACGGGATTCATCGCTTGTGGTCGCAGCGGGCAGAGCAGACCGTTCACTGCTTAGTAAATCCAGCGCCTGCCTTCTCAGTGCCTGTAGCTGTGCATTGGCGCGTGGGCGGGGTCACCGCATCAAGAGCAGAGCAGGATCGGATGACTCCGAGACACACGGCGAGATCAACTCCGAAGACGTCCGCTCTAACTTCATTCTTATGAGTGTCTGCTTTGCTTTGAACCACGGGGTAGTCACAACGCCGCTTGCGGTGGCAACGACTCTCCTGCAGCTTGACATTGCGAATTTCGGAAATGGTCTTCTCTATGCGGTCACACTACTTAGCTCGCTGTTCCTTGGTGCTCCCACAGTGGGTAGATTTGGTCCGAAGGGCGGACTGGTGTTCGGAATGTTCTTCTACTGCATCTACATCGGCCTTTTTGCAATGGCGCTCTTCTACGGAGATGCTACACAGCTTTTGTTCACTATAGGATCAGCTTGCGGCGGGCTGGCCGCAGGCGTCCTGTGGACAGCTCAAGGCGCTTACTTTGCATGCTCCGCAACTGAGCTCTCGAAGAGCACAGAGCAAAGTCGAGAGAATGCCACGGCTGAGCTGTCCAGCCAGTTCGCATTCTACTACCTTCTTTTGGAAGTCTTCAGTAAGCTAGGATTTTCCGGTTTGCAGGCATTGGGCCTGCAAGTCTCTCAGATCGGCTTGATTTACTTTGGAGCCGGCGTCATTTCCTTGATCGGCATGACTCAAGTCTACGACTTCCGCTCTAGTTCAGGGAGCGCAGATCCACTCAGCAAGGCCCTCGCGGCCACATCGTTATGGTCAGATCCCACCTTGTGGCTTCTGGCCCCAACCAACCTTGCCTTCGGGTTCTGTGCAGCTTACATGAATGGGTTTGTCAACGCCACCTTTGCTGCTCAAGAGCTTGGTGCCGAATATGTTGCCTTCCTTGGAGCCGTCACAGCCCTTACTGCTGCAGTTCTCGCCAAAGCTTATGGTCCCTTGGGAGCTCAGATTGGCAAGGGCCCCATCATCATCACAGGTGCAGTTTGTGCTTTCGCGATTCCGGCTCTGACCTGGCAAGGCTGCACGGGATGGGGCTGGTTTTTGATATCCTTGTACTTTTTGCAGGGATCCTTTCGGGCGGTGTATGAATCAACAAACCGAGCGACATTTTCTGATTTCTTCCCAGGGGAGAAAACGGAGGGAGCATTTGCCAATTGCATGTTGCAGTCTTCTCTTGGTTTCGCCACATGCTTCTTCCTGCAAAACTCACTGAGCCCCACACAGCTCTCGACGATCGTGGTCGTCCTCGCACTGTCAACTCCCGTCGGCTACCTCTTCGCAGAGAGCTTGCGCTCCAAGGCTTCGTAATTTGGTGCGACTCTGTGCGACCCGAGAGCCTTCTGGCGCCCGTGCACAATGGAGCAAGCAGGATCAGCTTGTTCGATCGCCTCTCTCTGTCTCTCCCATGGCTTCGTCGCAACGACCTGACCAAGAGTGCTTTGGCACGGCTGAGCGTGTCCTGAGCCTGTCACAGCCTCGCCATGCTTGCCAAAGGCTGTATACATGTTCGTGCCCTTAGCTTGAGTTGTAGATACAAGGCCAAGGCACATCGTCATCCTCTAGCCTTCTCCCAGCCCATAATACTGTGCGCACGACGTAAGCTCGGACACCTCTTGCAATGACATCTTAGAATCAAGGGCTGTGTCAAGCGATGATCGCGTCAAGAATGATGTCCAATCAGCTTGAAGGGCCAGTTGAACGACAATCGCAAGCAACTGTCCAAGAGATTCTTCAGAGGGATAGCAGCATAAATGAGGATGCTCTGAATCAACACGAAGCACATGAGCCTTGGGACTTTTCGGGGTTGTCGCATTCAAGTCGCCCGTGAGGACCCGCATCAGGAACCGAGTCCACGCGGTCCAGCCGAAGGCTGGGACCCGGATGCTTCTCAGGAAAGTCGGGCAGAATTGCTTAGATTGTCTGCTTTGCAGGCAGACGCGACAGCAAGGCAAGTGCCTTGCAACTGAAGCATAGGCTCCGTTCAACCACAGAGTGTCTGAGCAGGACATCCGCGATAAGGCACTTCAAGGCCATTGACACTTCGATTGTCGTTTAATTTGGCAGTCTGGGAAACTAAAACGCAAGCTTGGTCCGGCGGCAGGTATGTCCCAAGAGCTGCAGCGCGCTATGCAGGAGATGCCCCAGTTGCATCTTTGTCCAGCACGGCCTGTTGGGCTTGTTGAGAGTTCGTGAGGGAACATTGTCAAGCACTAGGGCTTAATCGATCAACTCTGGCTCTGCCGCTCACTCGGAATGAGACCTGAAGGAACTGCGTGATGAGATCCGGCAGTGGATAGAACTGTTCAAGTCCAGGCAAGGTGTTCGTGTGGCTTGAAACGAGAACGGCGCTAGCCATCTTTCGCTGCTCTGCAGTGTGGTGCAAGCCCTGCAATCGAAGCCTGATCACGAACAAGTTGCGGAATTTGTCAAGCAGGCCCGAGCTGGAGAGCAAATGCCCATCTTCAGCGAACATCGCCCCCGTTGCAGGTGGTGGGAGCTTCGGCTGGCGAGAAAGTTGCATTGTTTGCCAAGCGCCAGCTACTAGGCACCGAAGCCTCGCAAACGGACGCACGGTATCTTACAGTCTTACACTTCCCCCACAGCCATCGCAGCAGGCAAATGCGCATCTTGCTCAGCCCCCATCGATGTTGACTTGCTGCGCGTGAAGAGACCGCAACCGATCGGGCGTCTGTCTCAGATCTGACTTCCCTTTCCTTTCCGTTCCGCTCTCTTTGTGCCTCTGAGGCTGCAGGAGCACTGGCCTCCTGGAGAGAACCTTGGAGCCAAGGCCGGCGCGCCTCGACCAGGGCCAGGGAGCAGCGTCTTCTGCTGTGCATGTTCTCTTCCCTTCACTCCAGTCATACGCTGCAGCGCGACATGTTCTGTTTCTCAAATACTATGTGCAGGTGGCCATACGACCCTTAAACGCAGGTGGCGTGAGTCCAAACAGGCCTGCGGGAGGGTTCTTTCCGACTTCACTTCAGCGCAAGCCGGTGCCTCGACAAGATAAGAGGGGCAAGGCAGGGACGTTCCATTCAGCCAATGTGCACTTTTCACTATACTATCAGCAATCGTGCCCGCGGTACGACCGTGTATGCTAGCCCCAAAGAGATCTAAATCGAAGGTCTTTCGCTAAAGCAAACGTCGAAGGGGCTTGCGATGTGATTGAGGTCTTGAAATGGCCGTGGCCATTTTGGCTAAGAGGCCTCCTAACGAGAGGCTATTTGGAAGAGGTAGGGGGAAGGGGAACGGGGCTAGCAGCCCCACTTTTTCGCTATGTCGGAAGGGAGCCCGACGGAAGTCGTGCCGAGCAGTCCGGAGCATACTCCTCCTGGAAGAGGAGCGCCGGGACAACCTGAGCTAGTCCCGGGGAGATTGCAGAAGCCCGCCGCTAGTTGATGAAGGGGCTCCTTGGAGGCCGGTAGGGCCTGGATAGGGGATTTTCTTGAGCTCGTTCCGGGATGCCAGGGACCGTGGTTCTCGCAGAAGTGCAGGAAAGCTGGGCACCTTAGGCTTTCGCTAAAGGCGACCCGAACAAGGTGATAGCTGCATTGGAACTACTTGCTACCCTGGTAGCGGTCAAGCTATGGGTGCCCGAGAGCTCGGAGAAGAAAGCCTCCCGCATAGCTTTTCGTGGCTACACGGACAACAAGTCCAATAATGAAACAATGCGGAGTTCCCATGGTGCTCATGGAGACTGCCGAGGAGCTGTTTGCCAAAACTGCGAGCTACTAGTACAGCTGCAATGGATCAGGAGAGACCTGAACCAGCTAAATGACGATTTGACGAACGAGAACTTCGCCAGCTTTGACCCGGAGCTCCGAGTCACAATGGAGTAGAAGAGGGAAAGGGCGGCGAAACCGCGACAATTTTCCCGTAAGCTTCGCAAGCTAGCTTGGTAGCACGAGCGGCTGCTCAAGGAGATTGGCTCGCGAAAATCGCTAAAGACCTTCTCCGTGCTAGCAGGGATCCGGTCCACGTCTTGGAAACCGACAACGTTCGCTAGCGAGTGCAGCTTTGCTGTTACTCTTTCTTTTTCTGTCGCTAGCCCGAAGTAACCGGTGGTGTTCTGGGGGGGTGGCGGGATGATCGTTGGGGCTGCTGTACTAGAATCTGAGCTTCAGGCTTCCGCTTTTTTATCACGTCACTACAGAAGTTGATGCAGGCTCGCAGGCTGCGTTCTTCCAGGCTGCCAAAGATCAACGATGCACGCCACCGTGACAATCCCAAAGCAAGGGGCATGAAGCGCAGGTCTTAGTTCCATGACTGTTCCATGCGAGAGGCATCGACTGGATCAGTCCAGACGCTTTAAAAGGCGCTGCACATGTTCAACCGCACAGTGCGAGCATGGCTTGACTTCAGGTCGAGTGCATCCACACCTGAACTCCGCAAAGATCAGGACAACGAGCATGTTTGCAAACTTCTTGCATCTTAATGCAATCGCCCCTTGTATGGAAATGCGGACTGACCAGGTAAGCTACAGCGTAAAGGATGCCCAAGTTGTTTGTCGTGACGTTGCGAAGTGCGCAACAGCACAGTTCAGGAGCCATCGGCTGATGCTGCATAACACTTGCCAAGTCTGCACCTTAGGGAGTGAGGCATCTGCACTGCATGTGGCAAAGCAATGAATGGACGCAGGCAAGAAGACTGTGCGGAACACCACTGAGTGGTTGCTACGCAGAATAAGAGTGCAGTTGAGCGGCGACTTTCGGCTCTTCTGACACGGCAGCCCTATCTCTGGGCACATGTGCATACGTTTCACCAGAGAAGTCGAAGTGATGGTGTCTGCGCAATATTTGTTCGCGAACCACGACTCTGCACTGCTTCAGCACGTCATGTTGGCAGCAAGCCTCCCGCGACAAGCAGCATCTCAGATGCTTGAGTTTCTGACCTCGAGCGAGCTCCATAGCGTTTGCTCAAATCAGGGGTCGCACTAGCCTGAAAAGATGTTGAATGATAAGCATCGCATGTGAAGGAGCCTCGTAGAGCCGAGCCAGAGCATGTGTGTAGCATCAGCATCTGTATGCTAGACACAGCATGCAGTCTGGGTTGCTGGCAAGCCTTACTGCCAAGGGTGTAGCAGCTAACCGCAGTCGAAAAAACACAACTGTTCACAAAAAACAGGGTGCAGCATGCAGTGACAACAGTCGCACTGCAATCTTGACTATGACGTCTGCATTTTCCAAAGTGTCTGGCGTGATCGATGATGACGAAGAGGCCAATTCCAGTGCTTCCGATTCCTGCTGGTTAAGTAGCTCAGCTTCTGCTACTGCGCTCGCTCGTGACAGGATCGTCAGGAGATCAGTCAGCGAGCACAGGCCCTTTACCAGAGGGCGCAGGACTTGCAGCAGCGATGCGCAGCCAGCGTGAAAAGCAAGCGCAGAGAAGCCCTTCTGAAGGATGCATACACTTCCAAAGGTTCGCAAAAGGACGTGTTGAGGCCCGCCGCTCATTGTGCTTCACCTCCATTCTACAGCGCGTTCCTGAAGGCTGTTTGAGGATGCAGAGGCCCTTTGGCCCCGCTGTCGCTGCGACGCACGAAGCCCCAAAGCTCCAGGCTGCCATGCGACCGCTGCTCGGTGGGGGTTTGGCCAGCTTGAATGCCCAGGACGCTGCCTCCTCTCCTCAGTGTCCAAAGTCTCTATGATTGCTGTGCCTCGCCCTTTGCATACCGCCGTCGCAGCTCAAGATTTTTTCTTCTTGTGTGTTTCTGCGCAATGCATGGGCGAAACCGGGGCCCCGGTGCCGCTCTGGCGTGTGAAGGCCTACTACTTTGCAGCTCTGCCTGAGAATGCCAGCCTGAACCCTGAGAGTTGGGACAGCATCTGTAGTTACTGCGACTTAGGTGAGATTTAGTCATGTGCTCTGTGAGATTTCCAAGTCAAGACATCTGACAGCCAAGGCTAGCTTTTGCTTCTTCGCGACTTATGAACGCTATTTGACCCTCTACTTTGAAGCCGACGGCTTCCTCGCGGTCGAGATAGGGTTCATGCCGCTTGGTTCGGCATAGAGGCACGTCGGTGGTGACATGTTTTTCTGCACCAAAAGGATCGCAGTGCGCCGCGGGCTCATGACGGCAGCAACTCCCCTTTGGAATGCCTTGGCTGATTCCACGAAGAAGGCGAGGACGATCCAGCTGGCATCACTGCTAGCCCTGCGGCTGGACACAGATTGCATCATACCTCCGATGTGTAGCTCTCAGCCTTAAAAGCTCAGGCGAGCGTTGCGCCATTTATGGCGCTCCGCATACCCGTCGCTCGCGATCGAGAAGGGCTGGCCAGCGGCTTACGTGCTGTGGAATAAATCTTGGAACCGCGCTGTGCTCCTGGTTTGAGGTGATTCGAAGTCTGGCCCTGTGGGCATTCTCTTTGATGGGGGCCCCAGCCCTCTCAATGATGGATGCGCTGGCGCTCGCTGCTTGCATCTCGACTCAGCTCATCCAGAAAGGCCTCTGAGAATCCCAAGCCCTTGAACCTAAACCTTACGATCGCAGGTCAGCAGGATGCTGACACCTGGGGTCAGGCCCGGATCTATGGTGCAATCGGTTGGGGAGGCATGCACTTGGTGCTTGGACCTCTGCTACTTCCCTGATTTTAGGCTCTCTCCGTAGAGTATGCGCCAGGCTGGAGCAATTCAATTTTCAGCTCAGGCTTGACAGCTATGGCTTCAGCGCTCTCCGGACTGCACTATGCTTGTTTCAGTTTCAGTTGGACAGATGCAGGTGAGTTGAGGTGATGTTCGCGTCTTTCTGCACCATGGGAGCTATTCTCTTCGTGACATATTCTGGGATGCCGGAAGCATGCGGCGAAACGCACGGAGAGGTAAGCTTCCGCTCCGTGCTTGGGATTATTGCCAGGACTTCCATTTTGCTGTGGTCTGTGTACGGGATGCAAGGATATGTCGATTCATACGACGTTCAAAAACGATCAGACCTTGCAGGAGCAAGTGGTTCTTTGCGAACATCACCATCTTGGGCGCAGGTTTCTCAATGGTGGAAGGCCTGGCAGTTCATTGCAGACGAATTTGTAAGGCTCGTTCTCGAGCTTGTATCAGGTATGCTTTTCCTTCTACTTCAGCAGCTGCAGGCAACAAGGACAACCCGCGTAGTTTGCTGCTTCTATTAACGCTCACAGAGGCATCGACTTTTCTTTGTGGCCTGTCAGTGATGGCACCTTGTCAGCATCTAAAGTCGCACCTGGCTGGGTTGAGAGGGTGACTGAAGAATCCGAGCCTTGCACGCTTCAGGTCACTGTGATTTTTGAGCTACCGATCTTTGCCTACGCGCCTTGTCATCATCCTGTCTTGATGTCTTTGGCCGACAGCGGATCCCTTCCGGCAATCGCGCAGGCCAGCAGCCTGCTCCGGCGGTTTGGCACAACGAAGCTCATCCTGCTTGCACAGTTAGCCTGGGTGCTCGACCTCAGGTTCGATTTTCGAGGGTGGACAGCCTCTCTCATAGCTTCTCTCATAGCAGTCATAGCACTGTCATAGCATGTCGTCAGGTCATCCGCGCATTGTTTTACTCCCGGATGTCTGCTGCGTGGGCTGTCCTCCTCGTGGAGCCGCTGCACGGGGTGACCTTCGCTCTGGCTTGGGTCGCACTGCGGTCGCACTGAAAACGCCACCCACCCCCCCCCCTCTTCTTGAATCTTGTTTGTAGGCCCTAGGCCCGAGGCCTTTGTCTTCATGCAAAGCCTTCGCGAAGTGCTGAGACTGAAACTGAGGGCGCCATTGACCACGTAGCGAAGCCTGCTGTGTCTGGAGAAGGCTTACAGGCATCATCCCAGGGATTGCTCACTGCCTGCTTCCTCGGTCTTGGACCCATTATCGGCCCCTGGTCTGCACTCCATCTGCTAGACGAGCACAGGGCCTAGATTTGCGACTGCTCGCGCACTGTCAAGGTTTGCTGGGAGGACCTGACAGATGTACCCACAAATGTCCTGTGCGGGTGATTAGTATGGTTTAGCATGCTTGGAAGCACGGATCGCCTCAGGAGGGCTTCTGTTTGACACTGTTGGTGGTCATGCTGCTTACGCCATTTTCGCCGTGGCTTGACCCCGCACTTTGAAGCCTGGTCCGTGTGCACGGAGCATGTGCGACTTGTCCAGGTTTTTGTCTCCGTCTCTGGGCTCATTTACTGGCACCTTCCTGAGTACCTGACTGCCCAGCATCGAGCAGTGGCACGAGGCTTCACCCCTGACGTAGCCAGGTCAAGAAGCCATATCGAAGAAGCCGAGCCTGACGGGACGAGTCATGCAAGCCAGATCATCGGCAAGTCACATGGATCGCACACGCCAGTTCTCCGAACAGTTGTACACGTTGGCTTGAAAGTCCATGTCAAGCTGGTCGGAAACAAGAGGGGGCGAGAAGTTTACTCCGAGGCAACATCTGTCACCGACATGCAGCGCGGATGCAGACAGTGCAGGCGAAGAGGCCAATCTCAGCACGTGATTGTGGTGCAAACACAGCTTCGAGCTTCATGGAGAAGTTTTGGATGTAGCGCAGCTTCGAGCAACGCGACGGCACGGAAGGGCCCCCCAAAGGGTCTTCGTCAGTCAGACAGCATGGCGTTAGAATCCGCTCCACCTCTTGGAGAGCTCGAACGTGGACCTTCTCTTCGATCGTGTCGTCCAGCAGCTGCAGCGGCGCGAACTGCAGACGGCATGCTCGCGGCGGCCGGGCATGAGACGAGTTTTCAAAATCGGAACGGGCTGCACAGATTGCTTCCATGTGCATACTGACTTCAAAAAGGGTCCTTGTCCGAAGTCGAGGAGTTGGAGACAGTGCTGAAAGGACGGCTTCATCAGGCCTTGGGCCTTGGTTTTGCATGGTGCTGTGTGGAAAGTCTACCCCGACTAGGCAGTATCCATCGCGCAGATGACAGAGATTCCAAATCGTTGGACTCGTGTCAAAGAGCTGTCTGAGGCTTGAACCGTCACGGTTCGGACAGACTTTAGTGTGTAAGTGGCTTATCTCGGACCGCTGCAGGACGTGCTTCAGTTCGACTTCAACAACACTCATGCGTGGCCTATCTGTCTTGGAATTCTCAGCTCTTTCATGTGCCTTTAAGCCTGTTCAAGCCAGTGCACCTCTGTGCACGCTTGAGGCGCTGGCTGCGGGGTTTGGCGTTGAAGAGCATGGGCAAGACAAAAGAGGCTGAAGAGGCAAACGTGTGTGCCACAAGAACCGCTCCTACTGCAGCCTGAACTTCAGTTCAGGAGTGCCGCAGGGCGGTCGACTGCGCTCGCTCTCAGGGCAAGGATGGCGAGGCGAGAGGGGAGCCGAGCGAGAGCAGCAGGAGAGGAAGCAAAAGTCCCAAAGGCCCAGCAATGGGACAAGGAGCTCCAGGAGACCTTTGGGGGTGGAACCGCCACTTCCAGGAGCGGAGCACATCAGTGGGCATCGAGACGATGACTTGAACAAAGAAGTCTTCAGGACGCCAAAGGCGACGCCGCAGGCTGCAGCCGCCGACGCTGGAGCTGCCGGAGGAGCACCAGTTACTAGTCGTCTCTGTGACAGGTTCTCCACATCCGTGAATGTCCCTTGCATTTTGTAGTAGACTGTGCTTTCGGCACATGCAGTTCGACATTGAAGAATACTCCCCTACCCAGTAGGCGGGTATTGATTCAATAGGCAGGGCCGGGCAAGATGTCACTAAGCCAGCAGCCAGTCCAAGCGGGATCAGTTCGCTGTTGGCTTTGGACGACGACGGCGGCGACAGCGACGATTACACGCAGCACTGTGTAGCACAGACAATGGGGAAGGTATTGCGCGGTAAAGGCTTCAAGTTAAGACTGCATGAGCTGAGGTCTACCTTCAAAGACTGCCTGTAATTACTCTCTGAAGCTCTGCTACAACTGCCCGTGGTGTCGGATAACTCTGAAGACTTCAAAGGGCATTGTTCTTTAAACTGAATTGAAACTACCAGTAACTACCAGTTGAACCAAATTCCGTCTGTTGAATCGGGAGATTCCCAACACAACTTTCGCCCTAAACGACTCTGAAGCCTTGGTCGAGGGATTACTCAACGAAGCTGGAAGTGCTCGCAGGCTTTGAGTCAGAACCCATGGCATGCAATAATCAAGGAAGCGTGGACGAGACAAAGGCAGAAGGAGTTCCGAAAAGAAGACAAAGTGCTGGAGCATAGTGGGCTATGTGTCGACTTTTAGTTGTCCCTTGACTCAGAAGCTTTATATCACCCAGCAGGTCTCAAATCCAATGTCCATCCCCACCCCCACGAACATGTACTCATTCTGTCCTCGCGCACAAGCCTTGGAACACTGTAGGCTTTCGCTGTTGCAGTTGGACAGGCGCTTCCTTGGATCGAAAGAGATGAATGCCTTCTTGCGAAGGGAAGCTTTGCGAATGACTTTCCTGCATCTTCCTGCTTGCCTGCGAAAGTGCTTGCACCTCCTTGAGCACCCCTGCCCTGCACCTCGAAAGGACAAGCCGAAGCCCAGCCAGCCAGAGTCCTGGCAGGGAGATGGCCAGAGCTCAGAAGACGAGAGATGGAGAGAGACAAGCGGATGGAGACCGGCAGGCATGTGGTTGTTTGTGTGCATTGCGGGCTGGATGCGACAGATTTAAAGTTTCGCTTAATTTCTTGAAAACTGCCAGGAGGAATGAGAGAGTGTGTTGATGAGTGTGCATGTGTGTGTGTGTGTGTGGAGTGTTTGATGGTGATGTTGTCGGTGTGTATACTAAGCTATATTATAAATATGTCTCTATCTGTTGATATTTACTTATACTTACTTATACACACATATACACATACATACATACATACATACATACCTACACATGTGCATATAAACATGCATGGCTTGCCTGCTTGCTTGCTTACTTGCTTGGTTGGGTGGTTGGGCGGTTGGGTGGTTGGTTTGTTTCGTTGTTCCTCCGTTTCTTGCTTTGACGGCTGCTTTGTTTGTTGATATGGCTGGTTACTTGTTTGTTAAGTTGCTTGTTTTGCAGCACTTGTGGTGTGACTTTCAAAGCACACCAAGGCTCTCGGACAGTGGACAGGCGAAAAGAGTCCGAAGCGCGAGCGAAGTAGTTCGTTTGGTGCTACATAGTTACAAGCTTGTCGAATTTCAATGTTTGTTCTACAGGGAGGCTACGTGAACAACAGGTTGCCGTTCACGACAGCAAATTTCCAAGGGGCTCTCGTTTCTTCCTGGTGGGACGCTAGTGGACGTGCCCACACGTTTTTGGAAGTGCCACGTAGGTGATCTACAAGTGACTGGCAAGTACTGTTGCCTTGACGCTAGTACATCAGCTCCGTTCAGCACAGGATGGACGTGCATGTGTCCAACTCTGACTCCCATCTCGCATAAAAAAACGTCTTGTTGCGTGGGAGTCAGCAGGGCATGCAATCTGTTTCCGAGTATGCCTCGTCTACTAGGCTGCGAAGAAGGCACCGTCGCCGGCGCTGCAGAAGGCCAGAGAATCTCGAGGGATCCGTATGGCAAGTCGATGTTTCACGTTGCTCTGATGAAGCCAACAAACACACGATGTCATGCCTTGAGTTTTTGAAAGACGTCTCGAGTGGAGTGCTCGACGAGCTCATCCGCTGTGCATTTGCAAACATTCAATTGGCTTGTCGAGATCGGAACAACCATTGGTTGTACTGCATGACACAAACAAACAGCCTACGTAGCCTAGGTAGTTGGCAAAACGTGCGGGCCAGCATCCGGTTGAGGGGCGGCATCTTGCAGATCACACCCCCGGGAGTTCCCAACACAGCCGGCATTTTGGGATGTTGACGGTTGCGAGCTCGCACATCGCGTGCTCTGAACACCGAAGAATATAGCAGCCGCCACCAGTCAGGAATTCCAGATCAAACTTCTCCAAGACTGTGCAAGTTTGCAGACTTGCAATCATTTGGAGAAGTCGATGTTTGCAGGGCTTCTTCAATCGAACAAGCCGGAAGACAGAGGTGCAAGCTGGCTCATCTGCACCAGAGGCATGAATCACGTGTGCGCATTCAAGCAAAGTCGCAGGTGACGGATCAAGGAAAGGACGGCGACGAGGCTAAGACAGCCCGCGACGGTCTCAAGGCCAGATCCCAATCAATGCATTGTCTGTGAAGTTGCATCCGCTGGTCTTTTGCAGTTGTCCCGTCAGTGCTTGCAGGAAGGTCATGCAGCCAAGCCAAGTGGTAGGGAGGCCAGGATCAGAGGGATGAAGCAGGAGGCATCCTGAGGCGCTCTGACTACAAAGCATCGTCGCAGAAAATGCGTGAGGTTGAGTTGGAGCAAGAACTCACCAGCCTGCGAAAGAGCCTCCAGGATCAAGAGGCCGCGAACCAGTAATTTGCCACATGAGAGAGAGAGAGAGAGAGAGAGAGAGAGAGAGAGGCGGAGAGTCTGTCCTCCGCAACATACGGGGGCGCACTTGCGCGCGGGCAGGGGGGTCTCCCCTGCCCATAGCCCTGGCGAAAGAAAGCTAGAGTACAGAATAGACAGAGACTCTCCGAATTCCAGGCCGAACTGAAGAAGAAAATTATGCCTGGCGCCGAGCATGTGGCTGACTATTTGCACAATGCTGCATCTATGTGTTGCGTTAGAATTTCGTGCGTAAAGGTACGGTACATGTATAATTTGTTTGTTTGTCCATACATCTGTACGTACGTATGTATGTACGTACGTACCTATGCATGTATGCATGAACGCATGTAGGCATGTACTGCATGTATGCATGCATTGATGTATGTTTACATGTATGCATGCAGGCATGGATTGCTGGATGGATGGATGAATGGATGGGTTGATGGATGTATGTGCAGGTGTGATAGACACATGCAGAATAGACTGCAATGTATCTATAGTAGAGTATACGATAATACAACAGTACAGCAGAATGAAACCTAGTATAAAATCGTATTACATGGCACAATGTCATATCATGTCATATATTATACAATACTATATTATATATGTTATGGTATATTATGGTATATTATACTATATTAAATATTACGTTATATTATTCTATATTATATTTTGGATATTTTGTTTCTTATTATGGATTATCATATCATGTCATATCATATCATGCCATATCATGTCATACAATGTACTAAAATACACTGTAGATTGATATAGTATAGTATAGTATAGCATAATATGATATGGAAGGATATGATATGATACAATGTGTTGCACATACAATAGAGCATTGAAATGTATGTGTGCATGAACATATACATACATATATATATATACATATATATATATATGTGTGTGTGTGTGTAAATGCATACATATGTACACCCGGTGTGCAGGTTCAATCCCGTCCAGTGGATGTGGGTGAGTTCGTTCTTCGTTCGGATTGAACTTACAGTCACGAAAACCGTTACACCAGATCTTGAAGCAGCGACAGTGATGCTCGATTAAAAGCGACGCTACTTCCACTGTTGTGACAGACGTCGATCTAGCATCAAGATGCCAGAACGACCACAGCTGCGAGGAGTCCAGGCCCAATTCATCAAACGAGCAAATCCAGATAATGGTGGACACTTTTCAGGAGTCGGTGACAGCCACAAAGAATTCCGCACTCCCCCGGCCATCCCTCCACCTTCCCCACCAGACAGACCGGGGGCGATGACGAGGCGACGTAGTACCATGCATATGCATGTACATAAGGACATATCTATAATATATATATATGCATGTATACATATATATATATACATACATATATATGAGCCCGACGCATTTGGGGTCTATTGAACCACGGTTTTATATTTACAATATACTAAATGCTTTTTACTTTTTCCCACCAATATTAGCGAAACCAAGGCGCAGACCCTAAACGATCCTCTCTCTCTCATATATATATATATATGTATATACACACATACACACACACATATATATATATACACATACATATACATACATACATGCACACACATACTTTGTACGTATATCCACATCGACAAAGGGAGGGGGGACGGGTCACGTCCCCCCTGCGCAAAGATTCTAACCCACTGACCCTCCGGGGGCAAGGAGGGTCCTTCGCAACGCTGCACCACATGGCAACACACAGAACGTGCGTACACACATCCGTGCGCATATCTCTACGGTTTAAGATCTAGGGCTTGGATTTTTGAGTTATATGTCTACAATCGCATGCCAGGTCAGCGGAAGCCAGGCATGCTGAGGCCTGTGGGGCGATCCCTTTGTGCTGGAGATGAAGGGCTCCCAAAACTTGGATTGAGCAATACCCTAGCCGTGTCGGTCGTGTGATCGTCCTATTGGTTCTCAGTGGCTCACAGTCTGACAGTGGGGCCGACTTGTCAGGAGCAGCATTTTCGAGAAGGCAGCGAGGCCTGCACTCCGCAGAGCAGCGCCCCAGAATGCACTGCACTGCTCTGCCCAGGCGATTCTTCAGGAGTCTTGAACTCAATGGATAGCCTGGCATGTCAAACACCTGAACACCCGGTTTTCTCAGGTTGGAGAACTGTATTCATGCGGTGCGCCTCCCGGGTCCATCGTGCCTGCAGAGGTGCAGTCAGGGAGATCTTTCCCGGTGGTTTCCGTTCGCAGACGTTAAGGTTGCTCCGAGTTCGTCAAGCTCGAGCTCTTCAGCTGCACAGGCCGTCGACTTCGACATAGAATTGGCCCTTGCAAAGTTTCAGAAGGTGGAAATGGAGCGAGAGCGTGCAGCCCACATGCTGTCGCAGGTCGCCGTCCAACAGGCAACAGAGCGCACACAGGCTGGATTGCTTGCACACTGAGACGTCTTGAGAAAGCATTGAGATTGAGGCCTGGGAAGTGGATCTTGAATCTACAAGGGGCTCGTAGCAGGGCTAACACCACAACGCCTACTGCGTTTGACTTTGGATATCCTTTGCTAGGCTTAGACCACAACGACTCGACTGCAGCTTAAAGTAGCGAAAGTAAGGAAGCAACGGGCCACCTCGCGCATCTATCACGAGCTTCTGAGAAGCTCCTAAACCCTCACACATTGACGAATGATGTGTTTCGATCACTCACCATGTCGGACTTATGATTCCAGGTGCAACCTGGACCATTGCACACTTTGCACAACTGACAGTCCAACGTTTGGAATCGTCTCAGTTTTTTGTAGAGCGGAGCACGACTCGAACTAATCTTCAGCGCAGCTGGCTTTATAACCCGTCGGCAGATTGCAAGCAAAACTGCGCAAGATGACATTGCAGTGGCATAGACTTGTCCCAAGTCCTGGAATCCTCGCCACATTCCTGCGTTGACATCACCATTTGTCAGGAACACTTGTATAAACGAGAGCCTGCATGAGCAGGGCTTTTGCACAACGACTCAAGAGGACAGAACACAGTGACGGGCAACTCGGGGAAGTGATTAAATCGCCCACGTCGGGAAAGCCAATGCAGGCGAGCGATGTAATCAGGGAAGACACGCACTCACAGAGAGCCATCAAGGCCTTCCGTGTTGACCAGAAAGAGATCTCCGGGCAGGTGATTTCTTCACTCATGTATCTAATGCTCGGACGCCCGAACAGTTTTGCTCTTGTTCCATCGGGAAGTCCCTGAATGCTTCGCTATGCTTCGCCTAAACACACTGTGAAGAAGCCTGTCTTCGGAACCGTGGCTTCGTTTGCGGGCAAGCAGGAGATTGCCGGAATGGGATTCTGTAAGGCTCTCTCCTGCGACAGGAGAGATACGGGGATTTCCAGTTCTCGTCGTTCCGAAGGAAAGCTGGACTAGCTCTTTTGTCTGGAGGAAGGGGACCCTTGAAGACTGCAATGCATTGGCCATGCTGTCAGCAGCCATCGTCCAGATGTGCGTCCAATTTCCTGAGCCGGAAAAGGCGTGCCTGCAATGATGTTCAATGTCGATGCCGATTGATGCCGACACCTTCGATACACTCCAGATAGAGAAGCAACAGCTGAACTCCAGGTATCTAAGTAGTCGTGCGGCAGATACTGAGCACACCGAGCTCGCACCAGGCCGGCAAAGCCTGGGCAGAGAATGAGCAGCAGCGCTACGTAGAATTTTCCACGGAGGTCTGTGCTTCCTGCACACCCGAGCTTTCTGCGTGCACACCTGCGGCAGGTGCTGACTCTTCAAGAGATGTCGGTGAGGGAGTTTCGTGAACAAGAGGCCTCCGATGCTCCTGCAACTCTGCCACTTCGCTGTTTGAGTGCATGCAGGATACCGCGTCGAAGCAAAGCAAAGAACTTCGCGAGCTACCTTGACTGCAATCACAGAACTCGGTGGCCGCGCAGATGAAGTCCTACAAATAATGCATTGATGCCAAAATGCCTCTAGAAACCGAAGGTTTCGTGTGCTGCGTGGGGGTCATTGATGCCCAAAACAGGTTAGTCCGGCAATCGAGTCAAAAGAGCTAGGTTGAGATCTGGAGGTCAGCCTTGACTCCGCATATGTCATTCAATTCTGCTGACAGGCTTGCCAAACGCTTTGGCGACCTTCTGAGGCCTGGGTGTCGGAGTGTCCTCAGGAGCCGCTGTCCGAAAGACTGGATGCGAGAAAATCTTGGCAGAAGAGAGTGATTCTGCTGTGCCCGTGTTTCTGGAGTAGCCATTTGCAGCCGTTTGCCTGTGGTCCCCTACTGACTTGTGGACCCACATGCTCCCACCTTGAGAATCGACAATGCCGGCTTTGTTGCTTGTGCAATCTTTTCATTTGCTTCGTGCCGGCTAGCTTCCGTCCACGCCTCCGTCCACGCGCACAGGTCGGTGAAGCGGCTGGACGGGTTTGTCAGGCGTGTGCATGTGGAGCCTTTTGAAAGTTCACGCGGCTTGTGTGCATGTCTCATTGATCGCAAGCTCCAGGGAGCATTCTTCGGGACGGGAGATAGCAGACCCAGATGTTCAGCATATGGCACAACAAGGCGAGACTACAGATGTGGTCCAAGTGGGTCCAGCTTTCATGCTTGTTTATTTCAGATGTCTCACAAGCACTGGCCAGTTGCAGACTTCCACAGCCTCCCCTGGACGAGTAAGCTTTCTGCCATGCTTGACGATGGAGAGCCTTGGACTGCATGGACTACAGGACAGTGAAAGTGGAGTGAACGATCATGAAGAATGCCCCCGCCACGTCTGGTTACATGACCTCTGGCGTTTGAGCTTTGAGGCACTCCTGCGAATCGTTGCCATGTTTTCTGCAGGCTGCCCAGTCCGAAAGCAGGTGTAGACTGTCGCGGGTGTTCCACAATGCACATTTGAGGTGCTTGGCATGATGTTCGGCTTAGCGTTGGTGGTGGAGGACGATCTCATCACCTTGTGTCTCTTGTGACTGATCAACCACACGCCCCTGCAAGACTGGATTCGCAAATGCGTGTTCGCTGACCTGTCGGCGAACTCAAGACTGATGGCGGATGGTCATGCGTGCACAGAAAGAGAATTTCTCGTATCGCTGTATGTATTGCATGCCTCGTGAAAGCCGCAACTGCCCAAGCTTCGCGGCAGCTGACGCCCACACCGCTGCTGCTACTACCGGTGTACCCATGGTACTACCACTGCTGCTACCACTACTATTACTACCAGTACTACTACGACTACGACACAAATACTAGTAGTGCTACTACTACTACTGCCACTGCCACTGCTATTCCTACTGCTCCTGGGCCTACTCCTACTGCTGTTCCTATTCCCACTACCACTACGACCACGACCGCTACCACGACTTCTTTTACTACTCCTAGCACCACCAGCACCACCACCACCCGCTACTGCCACGATAAGAAAAATACGATACGCCGACTAATGAATTATAACGATACAAAATACGACAAATACAAGATAAAGAATAAACTATATATATATATTACGACGACATACGATATAATAACACAAATATTTTAATACGAAATAGTGGGTAATAGAATCGTTAATTTAGAGAAATTATGATCTTAGCCGGGAAGAGAAAACTATGAATATTTAAGATTTTGAGAGACTATCTCGAAAATAGATTTTATATGAAATTACGATTAAAATAATCGCATATATTATCTTTGAATCGCCAAATAGATATATCTAGAAATATATAGATTCGTTCGGATTCTGAACTTGAAATATTTGGGCAAAAATTCTCTTCGTTTTTTTTTTAAGATTTATATATAGCGATCGAAATATTCGATTTTTTTTCGCTAAATAATTAGGTTATTTATTACTTGAATTTGATAATGAATATGTCTATAAGCCGCATTCTTTGCAAATTTTTATAAGAATGAGATATAAAATAGAAGATAATAGTATTATTGGAATTATTTATTTAAATGGTGAAAATAGTGTTTCTGATTATGATAATTCTGAGGAATGGTTTTGAAGTTATAAATTTCGTCTTAAAGTTAATTGTTAAGATAAGAATTTTCCTAAGATGTCGGATAATTGGTTTCTAAAAATTTATTTATTTAGATTTTTTGATTCCCCATTAATTTCATTTGAAGATTTTAAAAATAAGAAATAAGGGCGCAAGAATTTTAAATTTTAAAATATTATTCGGATATTAGACCTAAGCCCTCGGATGGGTCTGAAAAAATAGAGGATTGACTCCCGAAAAATTAGAAAAGGGTTTGGGGTCTCGCGTGGTCGGGTTTAGGACCCCTAAACCCTAAATAGATAGGAAATTTAATTCCTAAAGAATCTCATGGGTTTCGTCCCATAAACCTAAATAAAAACCAAATAAAATAACAGGCAATTCAAAATATTATTAAAATCTCTGCCAAGCTTCTAAATTAAAAAAAATAATAATCTAAAATGCTATTTAATTTTTTTGTCGATTTAATACCTTAAATATTATCATCTAATATCTCAAAGAGATGAGAAATATTATATCCTCCAAATATAGAAAATATAAAGAAATTTATCGACTAAAAATATAGCTTTACAGAAAATCTTATATATATATATAATAAATATCAAAATTCTATAATAAATCCAATAATTGGACCAATATTTTCGAAAAATCTATATATTTTTTTGTCATAAGCTATATCATTATGTATTTATATCTTTTCTAATTAAATAAAAATATATATTAAAAATAATTCTGTTTTTT